CAACACATGCAGTACCCTTCTCCAAGCCACAGCTCAAAGGCACTGATGGCCTTCTATCCTCCACACTCAGCACTCAGATACACTGAACACAGACAATACGATGGTTTCCATCAGTCACACCTTAGTCACTAAGCTGACATAAATGACAGTACGTACTCTAAAGCACTTTATAAAATATTATGAGATTGGAGGATGCTGTCTGTCGTCAAGTCGGAACTGACTCACAGTTGATCCTCCAGTGGGTTTTCGGCGGCAGCAAAGCACATGGGAAGAGACGGCCCATCCTTCTCCCAGGGAGCAGCTAGTGGATTTGAACAGCGTGCCATTGGGTTGGCAGTGCAGTCACTGACCACTAAGCCACCAGTCACACATACTTGGGGCACGTTGCTAGAAGAGATTTGTAAAGGTGGATGGACAGCAAAAGAGAGGAAGACCCTCAGCCGGGGAGATGGCCACAGTGACTGCAGCAGTGGACTCGAGTGTGTCAGGGGCTGTGATGACCGCACAGGACAGGGCAGGGCATGGCTCAGACTGTTCCCAGGGCTGCTACAAGTCATACTCAACGCGACGGCACCTACCAACAACATAAAGTACTTACTAAAATATTACGGGATTGGAGGATAGGTTCTAAAAGTCACTATACACAGCACGTAAGATGTCTTGAGTTCCCTGACTGACTGCTAACTGGATAATCAATAACAATTCTATATCCTTTGTTCAAATTACCCTCAGTTCTTTATAAGGGTATGAATGGGCCTCATTTGCTCCATGAGAGATGTTTTGGCGCCCTCTACTGGCCGCTGTGTATACGTAACAACTTTTCTGGAACAGAAATGCAAGCTGAGAATATCTGACGGAGAAATCAGACAAAACGGCCTCTGTCACACACACAACTCCCTCTCTAAGGCCAAGCGGGCCCTACAACCCACCACGGCATCCCTTCTTCAAACCTGTCTACACCACAGCTAGATCAATGCCTCGAAAAGAAGGTTAAATCCGAAAGTATGTCTGGGCACCAGCCCAGGTGAATGCACTTGACAAACCTCCTCCTGGTTCCACGCTGGCCTGAACCACCCCCGCCCTCCAATCACCAGGCACCTCTACACTCAGAGATCCTTTCACAAGCTGAGCCCACCTGACTACCCAGACCACCCGCTGGACAGAGCTGTGGCTCACTGAGCAACAGAGGGAGAGAAGATACATTGAGAAGACGCGTCCTTCTCACATCAGCCCACGGACCGGCCCTGAAGAGAATCGGGGGAGACTCCGTTAGCAGGAGCTAACAGCAGCAACCTCCCTGCAAGCGAGGAGGACTCGAGGCTCCTGCTGCAGACGATGAAAGAACACAGCCTTCAATACGGATTGTGTCTCAACGTCAAAAAGACAAACATTCTCACCTCCGGACCAGGAGGCAACATCATGAGAGATGCCGAAAAGACGGAAACTGTCAATGATTTCATCTCACTGGGATCCAAAGTCACCCCCCTCGGTACCAGATCAGGAGATGTACTGCACTGGGCAGGTCTACTAACAGGGACTCTCTAAATTACCAAGGAGCAACGATATCAGATTGAGTACTAAGACGCACCTGGTTCGGCCATTGTCTTCAGTCACTTGTCCTGCATCTGAGAACTGGACAGTAAAGATGACAGAACTACCGCCTTTGAGGTGAGGGGTTGGAGAAGAGCGTTGAACATCCCATAGATGGCCAAAAGAATAGCTCCATCTTGGGGAAAGTGCAGCCAGAATACTCCTTGGAGGTAAGAAAGGCAGAGATTCCTCTCATACGCTGGGTACATGGTTAAGAGAAGCTATTCCTTGGAAGGAAACATCATGCTTTGAAAAGTGGCAGGTCAGTGAAAGAGAGGAAGACCCTCAACCAGGGGGACTAACACAGTGACGGCCACAACGGACTGGAGGGTGTCAAAGGATGGCACAGATACAAGATGGCTCAGATCGGTCATTTGCAGGGTCACTTTAAGTCATATTCAACTCGACTGTACCCAACAACAGCAACACCAGGAACCATAAGAACTCTTCCACCTCTCAGTATTTCTGGATCTTTCTTTGGGAAGGGGTGGAAAGCAGAGTCCACGAGGTCCTCATTTCAATAACAGACAGAAACAACACAGAAGAGGCAAGAATACAAAAGGTGAGGTTTCTTCACTCCTCTAATCTTGCCATCTTCTTCTTGTTGTTGTTTTCAGACGCCGTCAAGTCAAGCACAACTAGCATTGACACTATAAACAAAAGCTCTGAACCCTGTCTGTCTTGTGCCATCCTCACACTTCCCGACACAGAAGAGCCCACTGCAGCGGTCACAGTGTCAATCCACCGGGCTGAGGGGCTACCGCTCTTTCGCCGACCCTCCAATCTTGCCTTGAATAGGGAATTACAGCAAGCAGTGAAGGGGGTGAGGGAGGAAGAATCAAGGCTTTTCAACTGCAGTGTTAAGAGTCCTGAACGTCCACAGACTGACGGAAGAATTAAGTCTGCCGTGGAAAAAGGACAGAGCCTGGGCGCTTCTTAGAGGCAGGGATGGTGGAACGTCATCTCACATCGTGGTCATCGTTATCAGGAGGGACAAGACCTTACAAAAAGACTTCACACTGGGGAAGGTGGAGAGTCAGAGACGGAGAGGAAGACATTCAACAGGACAGACCGACACGGTGACTATAACAACGGGCTCGACAGTATCAGACGGTGAGGACGGTACAGGATACAGAGAGTCTCAGATCCACTATTCACAGGACTAGACGCCAATCACTGACTGGCCACAAAGCACGCCCTAGAGAGGAAGACATTCAACAGGACAGACCGACAGGACACAGTGATAACAACCAGTGATAACAACAGGCTCGACAGTATCAGACGGTGAGGACGGTACAGGACGTGGCGAGGCTCAGATCTGCTGTTCACAGGACTAGACGCCAATCACCGACTGACCACAAAGCACGTTCTAGAGAGGAAGTTATGAAAAAGTTCAAAAGTGATTCCTGAGTTGATGTGTTTGCTTTTCAGTCATTTCTACAAAAAGCAAACATGTCAAATGAGATAAGGAGAAAGCAACAAAGCTTCACAGCCATAAAAACAGAGCACCATAAATCCATAAACACACAAACAATCCTTATACTTCTCTCACATTTAGAAAAATTACCCTCAAAATAGGCCTTGAGATGAGCTAGGTTTTTCTTAGTATTTTCCAGTACTGTTTGCAATCCCTTAACATGAATATAGTATCTTTGCAAGAAGAAAAGAAATAAACTAAAAATTAATCTGTAGAGTTTAAAGAGAAAAAAAAACCCACTACACTGCACAGAGTATGCGCCCTGAAAAAGCCATATGTCCATCAGCAAAGGAATGGACTGAGGAACTGTGGCACCTTCACATGATGGAATACTATGCAGCACTAGGGAGCAGTGATTTTAGAAAATACTATACAACATGGGAGAGTTCAGGCAGCATGATGCTTGAGTGAACTATCTCAGTCTCATAAGGACAAATACTGCATAAGATCATCATTGTAAAATTATCCGGATAACTAGTAAGATGTGGATAAAAGTCCAAAGGGGGAAGGAGAGGGGGCCAGAGGGCGAAAAGAGTAGAAAGGAGGAATCACTAGGACAACAGAGTTTGGTGGGTGGAGGAAAGGGGTGAATGAATTGGGAAAGATCCAGTGGGGACCTGAAAAGATAGGGTAACAGTGGGCATAGATCAACAATGTTTCAATTATAAAGTACAATGCATAGGAGTGATCATATGAAGCACAATGTGAATGAAGGAATGTGTGAAATACAATGTACATGAATATAACATAACGTATACAAATTTTATACGGAAACTAACACAAAATTGAGTTTTTAAAAACTAAACAAGAAAATACATATGGAAAAAATACAGATGAAAGTAGTGGTGAGTGCAACCACAAGGTGGAGCTCTAACGACACAAGGGTTAAGGCACTGGGCTCACTGGGAGATGCCCCTGAATGAGGGCGGTGCTGAGCAGGACGTCTACCTCCTACACCGCACAGAGCGAGTGCTCACTCAGTGACCCGCCTGGGATGAGGGCCGTGCTGACCAGTTGGCAGATTCCCTAAGGCATATCACCCAAAAGGCCAGTGGTTCAAATCTACTAGCCATCTGTGGGAGATAAACGAGGCATTCTGCTCCCATTGAGACTGACGGCCGTAGAGCCCTTTGGGGACGTGCGACCCTGTCCTCCAGGGCCACCAGCACTTAGAACTGGCTGGGCAGAAGTGAGTTTGGTTTCCCAAGAGATTCTGCGGCTATTGTGATCTCTAAGGACTCAGAAGGGGAACCTTTCTTTTTCCATCTTTACTGTCCTAATTTCTACCACTTTCTTTTAAAAAAAATTATTAAATTTTATTAATTTTAATGAACATTTACAGAGATTTTGGGTTTTCATTCATTCATTGTTGCACTGTTTTCTCCACCCTCATCCCCAGTTCGTTCTCTTCCCCCACCCCATGTCTGTTTTAATTGTCCAATTGCCACAGTGCTTGTCAAAGCCAGTTCTGATTAATCTCCTTTGTCAGTGTGTCCCTTGCCATTCCCTATCACTCCTCCCTGAGAGAGACTTCACCCTGAGTCATAAGGAAAAGGGGATGGCGTATTCTCTTAGCTACTTCCTGCTGAAAAGGGACGCTGTGGGTTTCAGGGTGAAGATCTTCTCTCACTACTCTAAAGGGCCCCTTTGACAATAGGAAACACGTAGACCATCACTTTCTTAATGTCAGAATAAATCAGGAAATGAAAATGAGAAATAATTACTCATGTACATTTTCAAAAGCCATGAATAAGCATCGTCTGCACAGACCAAGTGTCACTGACCCGCCTGGGATGAGGGCCGTGCTGACCAGGACGTCCACCTCCTACACCGCACAGAGCGAGTGCTCACTCAGTGACCCGCCTGGGATGAGGGCCGTGCTGACCAGGACGTCCACGTCCTCACACTGCTCTTGCACTGCTCAGCGACCTACCTGGAATGAGGGCCGTGCTGATCAGGATGTCCACCTCCTTACACTGCTGCGCAAAGAGCTTCATTTCCGCCTCGATGAACTCCTTGGACATCTCCTTGGCGTAGCCGCCTTGGCCCTCGCCGGACTCCTTCAGGTCCACCTCCAGGGGCTCGGCGCCCAGGGACTTGAACTGCTCCAGCGCTGCGGCTCTGAGGGCGGGGAGGGAGACCAGTGGCTAGGGCCTGTGCCCTGGGATCCTGACCCCAGCTCCACTCACACACACATCCACAAAGACAGCCTGGTGCGCACACTCAAAGGTGCATGCTTTCTTCTGACAGGTCAGGCTGGAAAATGTCACATGAGCAATTAGAAATGAAAAGCCAACACAGCAGCAGTCCGCTCGGCTCTCCTTGGGTCGTGCGCCAGGTACTCTGGAAATACCTTCTGTGGCAGGTGTACGCAGTTTGTGTCCCACAGGCCTGAACAACTCCACTGCTGGCTAACGGATTCCCACTCACAGCCACCACGCCAGACCGGGTAAAACACTCACAGGGCTTCCCAGGCCAGGAGTCATTCCAGAGCCACCCACCTCATCTCTCTAGCTGGCTGTCTCTCTCTCTCTCATGAGGGCACAACAATTATCCACCAAAAAACTACTCAACTCTTTCTTTACATGTAAGGACTCACTGTTTCTGTGCACTATTGAGTCAGAATCAACCCACAGCAGACCCTCCTGTGAGTTTTCAGACGCTGTATATGACACAGGAGGAGACTGTCCATCTTCCTGCCACGAAGCAGCTGGTGGATTCGAACCTCATACCTTCGGGTGAAATTCCTTACAACTAAACTACCAGGTTATGTATGAAAAGCAGGAGGTATTGTAGAAACAACAGTCATTCTTTCACTGTTACTTGGCTGAAGCCTCGTCAGCGTTACCTCCTTCCCTGAAGGCTCACGTCTCCTCCGTGTGTTCCCTCAGCTGTCCTGACAGCACCCTCTCCCGTGACTCCCAGAAGCACCTTGTTCACATCGTACCTACACTGAGAGCCAAGCAACGGGACGGAGAGCCAGGCCTGAGGAGACCCAGGCCCACCGCCAGCCCACCGCAACGACAGCACTGCACTGGAGGTGGGGATCTTGTGTGGTTGGGTTTGGTTTTTTTCAAATCCAACCATATTCTACTTACCAGAAAAAAACATATAATATCACAAAAGACAATGTGTAAATAAATGAATGAAAAAAATAACTCTATAATGGCAATATGGCTGACCCTGTGCCAGCTTTTATATACATATGTAAGTATATATGTGCATGTATATGTGTGTGTATATATATTTGTGTATTTATGTATACATATATGTGTCTGTGTGTGTGTGTATAGGTTTGTATACAATCATTCCGACATATTGTGTTTGATGTATATATATATAAATGTTTTATATAATCATTCATGTACATTGTATTTTGTACAAAGAGACAGCGCAGGAGGGGAAGACCCTCTATGAGGTGGATTGATTCAGTGACTGGGATAATCGGGATGGGTGTGTCAGAGGCAGTGCGATTGGCACAGGATAGAGCAGGGTTTAGGGCTGTTGTACTTAGGGTCACTATGAGTCGCAGGCGACTCAGTGACTCGATGGCACATAACAACAAACAACAACAACAACATTGTATTTTATTTTCTTTATGGGAATGCTGAAGTTGAAACCTGGACTTAAAGTATATATTTTTCTACTACAACAATGTATTTTTGCAGTTGAGTTAACTTCCAGGAAGTGGAAACACTTACAATTAAAAGACTTTATCAAGGACTTTAAATTCTAATTTATAACATTTAAGAAAAGCATAACATCCTCCAAAAAGCACAAATGTTTTACCTGAATGCAAGTCACACCCGCAGAGCACTCACCTGGTGTCGAACCCTCGAACAATGGCGCCCATGGACTTGGCAGCCCCTGCAGAAGCCAGCCCAGCAACACCACCACCCACAATCAGGATCTGGAAGAGGAGACAGGCCCGTGACTTACCAAATAAAAACTACTACCCACTTACTAACGAAATATTATATTAGTAACCAATTAGTAAAAATTACAAGCTATTGTTATAAAAATTGAAACCCGATGATCCAAAACCTGTCATTAAGTGCAATCAAGTCCGTATGAACTCATAGCAATCTGCTGGTGCCGTGAGGTGCCACTGAGCCAAGTGTAACTCACAGGACGCGATGAACAACGACCTGACGTCATATCCTGTGCCGTCGCATCATCTCTGACACACCTGAGCCTCCTGCTACCGTCACCACGTTAATCCGTCTGGTTGAGGGTCTTCTCTCTTTTGCTGTCCGTCCCCCTTTCCAAGCAAGAAGTCCTTCTCCAAGGAACCACCTCTGCTAGCACAGGAGACGAAGACCCCAGATGGGATGGGCTGACGGTGACTGGGGCAATGGGGGCAAGTGTGTCAGAGACTGACTCAAGACAGGGCGGGGTTCAGGGCTACTATAGGGTAACGTGAGTCGTAGTCAGCTCAACAGCACATAACAACAACAAGCAGCACGCCCAAAGTCTGTGAGATGAAGCTCTGTCATCTCTGCGTCCAAAGGGCACTCTGGCCGCACTTTCTCTGAGACGTATCTGTTCTTTCGCCAGTCCATGGGATGTGCGGACGCCTCTTCACCACCACAGCCCCAAGGCATCACAGCAACCCTAGGAACAGCAAAAGCAGCGCTGTCCGGTCCTGGGCGGGCCTCATCAGCCCCCCTGTTGTGGCCGGTGTGTCAATCCATGAGGCTGAGTGCCTTCTTGGTTTTTACTTCGCCAAACACAAATCCTTCTTCCACACCTGATCTTTCTTGGTGTCCAAAGCACCGGAGAGGAAATCTAGTCACCCTTGCTTCAAAGGGGACTTCTGGGTGGACCTCTTCCCAGACAGAGTTGTTCATTTTCCTGGCTGTCAGCGGTAAACCCAGTCCTCACTGCCAACACCATAATCACAGGCATCAAACCTCCAGTCTTCCCTCTTCACGGAGTTTTGCACGCACACGAGGAGACTGGAGAGACCACAGCTTAGATGAGACACACCCCAGTCCTCAAATGTCACCTTCACTCTCTGACACTTGAAGGAGGTCTTCTGCGACAGGTTAGCCCAATGCAGTACATGTGTGACTTCTGTGACCGTGGACCCAACGGAACCGAAATCTGCGGCAACATCCACGTCTCCTCGTCACCATGACGTCGTCATCTGTGCCACGTGTGAGGATTTTGTTTTCTTTATGCTGGGGTGCTACTCACCCTGAGGCTGCAGTTCTTAATCTTCATCATTGACACTGGCCCCCCAGAAGTGACCACTGATGCTGGTCCCCATGAGTGACCGCTGATAACTAATCTCCCATTAGTGACCTCTGAAGCAGCCCCCAGGAGTGACCACTGAAGCTGGTCTCCATGAGTGACCACTGAAGCTGAGCCCTTATGAGTGACC